ATTAAAATTCCTTTACTTTCATGTTTTTAAAAAATCAAAGTGGAGGCCATTTATAGTGGTGATAATTCTTTGGAATACTTCACCACAGAAGATTTCCTATCTAGATGAAAAATTAGTTTAAATAATAACTTTTGCTCCTTTTTCTAGTTTTCACAGTGCTCGTCCAAGTAAAAGATTTTGGATCTATAAAAAACATTCAGAAGTGCTGAGGTAATTCTTATTTTCAGTTGCATTTTTAAGGGTTTGTAGTTTTTTGTTGTTGTTATTTCTTTTTACAGTCTGGTTGCTGAGGTAGTATTCTGAGAGCCCAATAATCAAAACTCAAACAGAGGAACTCCTGATTTTGTGGTTTGTCACAAGTTGGAAGCAGCATGGAAGTGAGAATGGTCTTGGGAGGAAAGTGAAGCCACTTGTGGGAGAGCAACCCAAGATACATTTAGCGCACGGGTGGGCAAAATATGGCCCATGGGCTGAATCCAAGCCCACCAGGCCATTCTATCCGGCCTGCTGGGCTCCTAAAAAATTTAAAAAATTAATATTTATCTGCCCCTGGCTCCTGTCCAGCCCTTGGGGCCAGGCCAGCTCCTGCTGAGCCCCAGGGGTGGAGAGGAGTGGAAGTGAGCAGCATGCAGGGCCTGTGTCGATGTCCCAGGGCCAGCGCCAGCAGGACCCAGAGTGGGCTGGTAGGAGCATGGGCTGTGGGCTGGCAGGGGTCTGTGGAGCCAGGTTGAACTGCACCAGCAGGGAGAGGGGGGAGCTGACCTGCCTCCATAGACCTCCCCTGCTGGCCAGGACCCCATGCTCCTGCCGCCCTGCTCTGGGCCCCACTGGTGCTGGCCCCGGGACACCGATGTGGGCCCCACACTCTTGTCTGGCTGCTGCTGGCTCCTGCGCACCTGTTTACTCCCAGTGCCTCTGCCCCAGCCTCGCGGTACAAGTGGGGACCAGTGCACAGCCCTGACCCCATGCTCACCCATCTGGGTGGAGCAGCAGCAACAGGCAGGGAATAAACTGGTGCTCAGTGCGGGGGGAAAAGCGGCTGCTCCCCCTCCCCGTGGCCAGCGCTTCCTGCTGCAGCCGCTTGCAACCCCTGTGGGGCTGTCCTGACTTTTTGCTGTATGGCAATGGAGAGCAGGCACAGGCAGTCCTGCATGGGCTCCGAGCAGCTGCAGCACAGGGTGCTGGCCACGGGGAGGGGGAGTGGCTGCTTGCCCCCGCTGAGCACCAGTTCTTTCCCCACTGCTAGCCTGGGCCCTGCACCAGCTTCCTGCTTGCCTGTTGGGGCTGAGCCGCAGCAGCAGCAGCTGGGCAGAAGCTGCTGCTCAGTGTGAAAGAAAGCAGGCTTGTGGGTTTTTGCCCCCACTTTCTCTTAA